GGGCACCCTCAGGGCACTATAGTGCCAGGAAAACGAGTATGTTTTCCTGGCACTATAGTGGTCCTTTAAGTACACAAATCAATATTGATGAATGACATGACAGATGTTATACACACTAAAAGTCAAGATACACTGCACTTTTATTTTTTTGGTAGAAAAGGTAACACAAGAAATAGTAGCTATATTGTCTGGGTAGAGTAAAACAAATAACAAAACAATAGCTTCAAACTGACAATAAGTACCATTCAGGGGTATACAAGATTCATATGTGCATTAGGTTATAGGCTAAGTTTTGCAATAGGGGACATACTGGCACACACATCAATTATTAGAAGGCCAAGATTAGAAGACCACTGGTTCACCACTCCCCACCATGTTACTGCACCGCACACAGGTAGACTGAGATCAAATAAGATCATTGCTAACAAGTAGGCTATTTTCTCCTCTCACCTCCATGAGGTATATCAGGGCTTGCTGGGTGGCCTTTTGCCTGTATGCAGTGAGTCGGGATTGCCACAGTTCTCCGTTATTTTGGCTCCAGGCCTTGAGGGGTACCATTGTTCCACGTCCCTGAGTCCAGCACTGCTGTTGATGCAATCCACCAGCTGGGTTTGCTCGCTGTTGTGAGGTGTAATCCGTTGGACCGGATAGGCTACGTTGAGGATGGAGTGGTGTATATCGTCCTTGGCGGGGTGAGTCGCAGCCGACTTGCAGGTCTAAGTTGTACAGGGTAAGCTTCCGCCATGCTGGCTTGTTGCGCCTTTTTTTCTGCGCATTCCCTGTGGGGAAGTGCCGCACACGTGTGGGGATGCGAGGACGGCTGATCAGGTATCTCCGGGGGACCTCAGCATGTTTGTGTTCTTGACCCTATAGTGTTCCTTTAATAAGATGCCGTTTATATGGGGGTGGGAGCAGGATTAGCGCTACCTTAAGGCGACATCAATAAAAGTCATTTTACAGTACAGTTCATATCCTACTCCACATTAAATTTCCATAAACACTTTCACAACAAATGCATCTTTGAAACCTGTGTAGACAAAAATCTTTGCACAGCTCTAGATGGGAGTGCTCATTTAAACTGGAAACCCTGGATCAGATGGATAAAGTGCGTGTTTTGTCTTTTCTTACCTCTTATCTTAACAATAATAAAACACATGTTATTCTATGAAACAGTGTCTGCTTGTTATGCACAAGGCTTCTGCATAGGATATTAACCCCTTAATGAGTGCAACAATATGATTTCATTTACCTTAATGAATTATGGATAAACCTGTGAAAGGACAAAGAGAGGTGTTACATGGCTAAGTGTCTCCTCTTCAGGGAAAATGCAATATTTATTGATTAATGAAGACTGCCACGGCAGTCAATTAGGCTTCAAAATGACAACTTCCTCTGTGAAAATTACACTTAAAAACTACTTTGAACTTATACTAATTTATTAACAAATAATTACACATGGCAGCTGCATTAAAAAGTGTAACAATGTAGAGGACAAAGTAACGGTAGGAGTTGTTATATGGTCTTGCTACTATGAATTCAGGTTATTGGTAATGTAGGGACACTGTAACAGCTTCAATTCTTTGAAATGGTTGTAGTGTCTGGAGCATTTTTTAATCCCAGCGGCCCAGTGGGAAGAGGTGGGGCCAGAAGGGTGTGTTTATCATCACCAATGACACGAACGTCGCCCTACACAAAGTGAGCATGTTGATTTAATGCTCTTCCAGGACAGCCCATGTCCAGAGCCTTGCTGAAGAGCTCTTGAAGAGCCCTGTATTTGTTCTGTGTAGTACAAGCTAATTTAATGACATACATGCATTGTGTTTGCTTGTAACTTGTCTCTGGTGTCCATAGGACAAGGGCCAGGAGAGCAAATTGTGCGTATTGTGTGCGTATTAGGCTGGTGTATTGTGTGTAGAGTGAGCTGATTGTGGTGTGGAGTTTTGTGTTAATAGGTTGGTTTCAGTTGTGGTGTAATATGTGTGGCTAGGGACTGTAGAGCGTGAGAGTGTGCATGTGTGTATATGGGGCATAATGTTTATAGGGCGTGTAGTGAGTGTCTGCATAGGGTCTATAGTGTATGTGTGTATAGGTGATGTAGTATATGCAGAGGCTGTAGATAATGTGTGTTTAGGAAATGTAGTGTGTGTTTGCACACAGGGGATCTATTGTATTGTGTGTAGGTGGTGCAGTACATGTCTATTAGGGATCTATTGTGCATGTAGGGGATCTGGTGTGTGTTTAGAGCAATGGTCAAGGACAGGACGGTCTAGGGATTACCCAGTTGTGTCTAAGGTGTCTTTAGAAAGAAAAAAACACTTTAGAAAGAACAGTGTAATCCCTAAATCATGGACTGGTAAGGGGTACCGGAGGACTGGGTTGAGAACTCCTGGTCTAGAGGATCCAGAGTTTGTATAGGGAATCTAGTGTGTGTAGAGGATAAAGATGGTGTATAAGGCATGTATTGTGTACGTCTGCAATGTAGTGTGTGTAAGTGGTGCAGTATGTGTATAAGGTATGTACTGTCTATAGGGGATCTAGTGTGTGAGGGGTGCGGTGTGTGAGGAGGGCAGTGTGTGGGGTGAAGTGTGGGAGTGAGGGGTGCAGTGTGTGCAAGAAGGGTGCAGTGTGTGTGAGTGGTGCGGTGTGTGTGAGGAGTGCAGTGTGGAGGGGTGCAGTGTGTGTGTGAGGGGTGCAATGTGCCTGAGGGGTACAGTGTATAAGGGGTGTGTGAGAAATGCAGTGTGTGAGGGGTGCAATGTATGAATGTGTGGGATGTAAAGCCATGTATTTTGTAATGGTGGGCAGATGGGATTAAAATGTATATATATATATATATATATATATATATATATATATATATATATTATTTATTTATGAAAAAAAAAATATATGTACTTTTTATATCCCCACATCCTTCTTACCTTTGGCAAAGGAGGGCAAACATTAAAAACCCTGGTGATCCGGTGGTGAGTGAACTTTAGCCTGCAGCTCCTCCAGCTAGAACTCACTTGTGTGAGATCTGACCTGTCGGAGTGTTGCCATGGTTACAGCAGCAATGCTCCAAACTCCTGAGAGGAGCATTCAGAACCTGAAGGAGATGCTGCCTAGAGCCGCTCAGATCCTCTTTCTAATCTCCTCTCTGGATTGAAGTGTCTGTGAGCCGGTGAGGGAGATCAAAGATCTCCCCAGTAGCCTGTGATGGCAAACAGCAAGGCCAGCGATTGGATAGCGCCGGCCCTGCATGAGCCAGCAGGGGAAATCCTCTGATCTCCCCTGTTGACCTGAGCCCATGGCCATCTCGACCCACCGGGCATTTTCCTGACTTGCCTGATGGCCAGTAGGGGACTCCCCTGTTCCCTGAAGTCGTTCTTTCATTTAACGCAAAGCTAACATTTCTGCTGTGTTTCTTGGGTTGATGAGGAAGTATTAGTCTGAGCAGCAATGGATGTCTTTGATTGGCTGAGAGTGTCAGTTCAATCTAACTTAGCTCCCATTGCTGGTCTGAATTGGTATGGCTAGAAGGCTAGACATTTGTAATCTCTGTCTTAGCCCTACCTCCAGTGGGGGCTGGGCTGAAGGTGGTGAGGGACCCTTATTAGGGACCCGCTTGAAAATGGTTTAACAATTGAATAGAGGGACAGCGCCAAGAAACGTCAGGCAATATAAACACTTCAATTCCTACTGTGTCTCTTTAATGGCTTCACATTTATCTCACTGATATTAGCAGTTCATTTGTTTACAGCTTAGTACAACTCACACGGGCCAAAGGAACTGTCCACTTTTTAAATTTGATATAGAATAGTTTATTTAGTCCAGTATATTTATGCTGTATATGATTTTGTCCAACACCAAGTCAAAACTTTATATAAATCATATACTTCCACTGCATACTTACTCTCTTTATGCATATATATTCATCTTATCCCAAAATTCCTCTTTGAGTTACTTTAGTTCTACAATATGGGGAAAGAGCCACCATTTTATACATAATAGGCAAAGTGGGCATGTCTATAAATGAAGAGGCAAGGAGTTTGCTTTTATACAGCTTGCTGTACTTGAATATTGGAATTTTTATCATTTTGCTTATGGGTTATTTTCCAAAATATGTCATAATTAATAAAACATGTTGATGTATTTATGAAGCGCATTATTTCTATTCTTTGTCATAGCAATATTATTATTGCCACAATGAAAATAACGCAAAGAGACACATCATCGTAAATGAGCAAATATATTTGGAATAGGTTATAGACAGAATAAGCGAACCATGTTTGGGCATGAATCTATACTAATTAAAAAAATAATGTACATGGAACGAATATTCTAAAAGACAACATTTACCAAGATGCCAAAAATAAGATTCACTAAAGCCACAAGTCTATGGAAGAAAAAAATAAGACATTGATTAGTCTCATAAAGGGTTAATTGTTCCATGGCACTGAAAACGACATTAGAAGATTAACATCATTTGAAGCATTTCATAATTAAAGGTAAGTGAACATAATATGTAGTAACAATGTTTCAGGCTAACAATATAGGTTCCCCTCTAGGCAGAATTAGATGAAGATTGTTAATGATAGAATAGTTGCTGCTAACTTAAATCTGACACATCGACTGTATTGCCTTTATTCCAATTACCTGCACTGCTTCCTGCTTAATACTTGTATTCTATTTACAGAGAAATTTACACAACATTTTAATGCCAATGTCTATTTACAAGGTGGGAAATACATTTACCTTCGATTTGAGAATTGGTGAATGGATAGATAGATAGATAGATAGATAGATAGACTGACAGACGATCTTGCTATAAACATTATTTTGAAAGTTTTTAAACAAAAGTCACTAATAACAACAGATCAGAAATATAAACAACAAGAAGAAAACATTCAAACAAGAATCTTAGAACACTGACATGTGCAAGAAGCAGTATGGTGAGAAATAGGAAGGATGTTGAGGTTTAAGATTAGATCCGTGTGCTTGCTAAACAGACCAGCTATGTGTTCTCCATGCTTGGACAAGTGGTCCATTGCTCCTAGCAATGTGTCAGGACCAGGAGCTCACTGGCTGGTGCTGCGAGAGGGAAGATACCATAAGAGGCAGATGGCACAGCAGCATTTTAGGTGACAAGGATAGCAGAATAAAATATTTACAATGCATCCACAGCAAGAGGGATTTCACACAGAATGGAGAGCAGAGTATGAGTTGCCTGGATTTGGTGAGTCTGCAAACATAGACATTCAGCATCATGTCTGAGTTTACTCCTGCATCTCTTTGGTAGTTTAATGTGCATCAAATTGTCTTTATCTGCAAAGCTTGTTATGAGTTACAGGTGATTTAAATGTGTTTTTTTATTGCCAACAAAAACAGGAATCCTACACATGTCAGTGGAGAAGTTAATATCAATGCAATTTGTATTCATTAATGATGTGCAGTTGTGCACTTTATCCTCTGCTCGCAGAGCATCATGGGAAACGTGGTCCAAAACCAGCTGGAGTGCCAAAGGGTAGGCACCACTGCTTTCTTGTTACCAGAGGTTTAGTGGTTCCTCTTTAGTAAGCAGTGTAGATGGGTGTGCCCTTATCTCAGTATTCTCTACAGTGGTAAGTAGACACAAGTATATCTTTACTTATATATATATATATATTTTGTCTGTGTGACTGTTTTTTAGTAGCAGATGCTTCCTTTAAACTAAAGATATGGTTTTGAAAGCACCACAAGACATGAATAGTTTTGTTGTGTGTTTTTTTTTTCTTTTTAGCAATCTTAGTGTGACAGCCATAACCATCACAAAATGATAAGGGGAAGAACACAGGGAGAGAATGACTGAAGCTGAACTGAACAAGCCTTCTGAAAGAGACAGAGTATAATGGAGCAATGGAGAGAGAAGAAAGGGAGGGATTGTTAGAGAAAGAATAAAAGGGGCACTCTGAAAAAAATGGGAGGTATAAGCAGAGGAGGGGAAAGAGGGAGATTGCAAGAGGAACACTGGTTGTTGTTTAGATGCCTACAGATTTTGCATGAAACCAGTTAAAAGACAAACTAAAAAGGCACAGAGAGGATATGAAACATCTTAGAGTTAAATGTTTCCTAAACATGCCATCAATCCCTTTTCCCAAACACTCCTCTCCCCAGCACATAGGGTTAAACAGAACTACTATTGCAACGTGACTTAAAAGACAGACAGTCCATCCAATGGCATGCAAAGGCTTGTAGAAGAGATTTTAGACACTGGAATTTGCTATTGCTCTGCATTGGATCCTCATCTGTGACTCAACAGTGTTAAAGAGACCTGATCATTTGTCACTTGGTGTCTGTATTGGTGATTTAGCATCTACCAGGACTGGGATCACCAGTAATTTTATGCAGTTTCAGTAAGTGAAGTTTTCTCTTATTGTGCATTTTTGTGTGTTTTACCTGAATGTATTTAGAACACTTAGAGTGTGTTACATTGAGAATGTTTCTAGGGAAGCTCAGGAATTAGCAGCAAGTGGCTTTTGTGTGCCCCCTAATAGATTCAGTTAATATAGAAGTCATATTTTATCAGTTTGTTTAAATGTTGTTGATTCAGAGGTATGTTGTGAGATGCTTAGCAGTCTCATGAGTGGATCAGAGCAAACATGGGGTTTCTGACTAGACTTTAGGGTGTTGGTTTGGATTCCAAACTTGAAGTCCTGAGCTTAAACTGTTTCATTTCTTTTGAATCTGACTGAAATATCTTAAACATCATCAGTTGTCTTGCAACTCCCCAAAATGTGTTGGAAATATGCTTGGTGAACCTCAAAGTTTCATAAGCATCATTTGATTTTGAGAAACATTACTCAAGCCTCAATTAAACGCTTCAGAAAGGGCTTTCAAAGCATCCTCAGAATATATAAGCTGCATCTGGTTCTCTTGTTATCAATGTGTTTTCTTGTTTGTATCTCCAGTCTGTTCTTTCACATTATGAGACTCCCCCCTCCCCAACTGCTCTTCAGGGTCTTTTATTTTGTTTCCCTTTTTTGTGTAAACTGTATTTTGCACGGAAGTTCTCGGACTTCAGCCATCTTTTAGAGCAAGTGGAGATAGAATATTAATAGAATGGTGTAGATTCAGTTTATTGCAACATTATTCACTGTTACTAAAGCCTTGTACTCTGTAAGCTAAGCAGGGTGTGTCCATCATACTGCAGTCCTACTTGCAACAAGTTTACACACAGGAACCAAGTGCAACGAACTTGTCGTTTCAGCAACTTATTGATAGTCAGAAATTATAAAATAGAATGTAACGGGGACATTCCCTCTATGAATAAACATCCGGCTCTGTGTGCAACAAGCAATCACAGACGTTCCACATGAGAACTCAGGGGATATAAATAGTGGCATCAAATAGTGTATTTATTGAGAAAATAAAACCCACCAAAGTGGGCAGAAAACCTCTGCTTTTGGGTTATGAAAGTTACAAAATGTAATTGATTTGAACGTATTGCAGGAAGTCCAAAGTATGTAAGCTCAGTTTCGGTAGTGCCAGTGAAATCTGCTGCATTTGTAAGACAAATTATGAATATGTCTTGTTAAGTGTGAATTTCTGTTAGTTACTAAGCTTTCATTACAATTAATTGGGCATCTGTAATATTTGAGGGCTGCCACCAGCCAGATGTTTCTAGTGGGGACTTGATATGACTTGGTTGCCAAAAAAAAAAAATAGAGTGTTCTCCCTTGTTTTCCATTTCTGGCAATTTGTACTTACAATTGAATCTGGAAACTGAAGCTTTAATGGATTCTTTCTACTGTAGTACAAAGGTAATGCAATTCTCTTCCTTACCCCCACCCTTCAGCCCCTGTAGTGAAAGACACAGGTATTAACTCTTTACAGACCAACTCACCTGTTTTGTTAATCACTTTGTTTTGAAATCTAGTTTGTTTTGAAAATCTAATCTTGTAATTATAATGTAATGTATTATACTATGTATTTTTACATTTTCAAAATTCTTGTTAAAAAATCAATGTCATCCTCACGCCCGTAAAACACTTGTTTTACCTATACCTCTACCCCCTGGGTGTGTCTCTGGCACAGGATGGTAAGCTATTCCTTCCACCTTGTTTAATAAACAGATATTAATTTACTCTCATAATACAAAACTGGGGCTTATTCTTCAAAGCAACATATCACAGTATGAGTCATTGTAGTTATCACACTGACTAGCTCGGAATTCACAGTGATTTAAAGGCCACGGCATTTATTTTATTTTAGTTCTTTTTCAGTACGTAGCTCGGAGAAAGAAGACATCAGTTATGAGAAGAGACAGAGAAAGAGGCAAAGATGGCGAAAAGTAGAGATTATGTTTTTTAAAAAACTGTATTATTAATTAAATATTAACAATAAATAGTAATTATAGATATTTCAGTAACCTTCTGATTATGTTTATACACTAAACAATGACACTATTTTGACATAAATTGTCCAAATTGTTTTTAGTTCAACACAAGTCAGGACTGAGTGAATAAAGCCCCATTATGATACAATGTCAGCCTAGATCTCTTCCAGATACCAGAAGAGACAGTTCCATTTATGGGAAACCTGTTGGCTCATTTCTTTTCCTCTTCCACTTGATACACTGTGGCTACAGGACATCAGCTTGATCAGATCATGCCTTTTTCCAAAATGAGCAGTGACCAAAAGCCCCTTTGATCTGGATAAATTTCATGTTCTGGCACGCAGTGGATATGTCTGGAGGCTAAGCTGTGCGTGTTTATGCTAGTACTGAGCCATTACAGCATTAATGCATTGTGCTAGTATACATTCTTACCTTTTTGCTATTTCTTGTATAAGATAGAAACTGATGGAAGATGGAAGAGAATTCCTGAGAAGTAATATGAGCTCAAAGGTAATGGTCCAAAAAAATAGGACATGCTATAAACCTTCTGATTGGTACTTATTTATATACCACAGTAGGATGGAATGTTCAGAAAATGATCTTATGAGGTTTGAGCAATCTCTGCTGCTGGTGAAGTAGCCAACTGAACTGGTGTACATGATCACACAGTTGGCACCTTAGAGAATCACGAACAATAAAGTAATTCTGTTTGCAAGAGAAATAAATACAAGGGATAGCAGGCATGTTGTTACAAGAAAGGGTGAACTAACGTGGGTGGAAGATGCAATGCACCCAAACATCTTACCCTTTGAGATGAATTTGCTTTAGTAGTGGTCTTATTGTTTTCAACTCAGCTAATTTAGCCAGCTACGATAACACCATCCCCCAATTCGTATTTAGAGACATCAATTTATTACATCAGTATTCCCCATGTCTTAGCCACACTTTATAAATAAATATAGAGTTAAATTAGAGATATTTCATAATTTTGAGCTTGCATCAATGTTATCTAACGAGGATGTTGTATGAAAAAAATGGTACTCCAAATTTGGCAGGCTTTAGCCTAGCGCTTATATCAAGCATGTAAAACTTGCGGCCTGTGGGCCACCTGCGGCCCACAATGAATATCTTTGCGGCCCAGCGAGCCGTGAGTAGATGCTTACTGTTAAAGAAGAGTTGGCACCTGCTCTCCCCGCATTGCAGGTGCCTACTCTGCTAAAATTTACCTGGCCGGGTGGAGAGGAAGCATGAAGCTGCAGTCTGTTCTTTCTGCTACTCACTGCTCATGTGCCCTCTGTAGTGATGCCGTGTGCTGGAATATGACGACATTCTGTCCAGGCATCACTAAACCGTGCATGAGGAGCAGGAAGGGAGACCTCCAGAGAGAAGATCCCCAAAGACCCCAGGGATTGGCCCAACACCAGGTAACGATCAGCAATAAATAAAATTATTTGTGAGTGTGTGCAAGAGTGTGTAAATGTGTGTGTGTGTGTCTGTATGTATGTGTGTGTGTTTCTGTCAGTGAGTGTGTGTCTGTCAGTGAGTGTGTGTGTCTGTCAGTGAGTGTGTGCCTGTCAGTGAGTGTGTCTCAGTGTGTGTGTGTGTGTGTGTCTGTCAGTGAGTGTGTGTGGGTCAGTGTTGTGATGGCTGTGGCTGGATGGTGGAGGACCTGGAGGTGCATGGAGGCACACAACGCCATGTCACATTCCAGCGTGATGTTGATGTGCTCCACCTTCACAGGGTTTTAAGGAGTGTCAAAAAAATCCGCTTTGGCACAGGGTGTGGACAGCGCCATTGGGGATATAACAGAGGCCGGAATCTGGAGTCGTATACTGGCAGTGGCAATGTACGTGGAGTCTGCTTGTTGGCTAATATTGTTTTTTTTTTTTTTTAAACAGGGGCAGGGTTTTAGTAGAGGGGGTACTGGGATTTAGTACAGAGGGGGACAGGGCTTTAGTATAGCAGGAGGACTGGTATTTAGTAGAGGGGGACTGGTATTTAGAAGAGGGGGGAACTGGAATTAAGTAGAGGGGGGGCTGGGATTTAGTAGAATGGAGCTGGGATTTAGTGGGGGGACTGGGGTTTAGAAGAAGGGGGCTGGGGTTTAGTAGAGGGGGGGATTTACTAGAGGAGGGTGCTGTTTTTTTTTTATACTGTGCTTTTCAAAATAAACCTATGTTTCTATGAAAATTTACGTTTTTGTTTTTTTTGCGGTCCACATAAACTTAAATCTTGTTTATTTAATCCATGCTAGCCTTTGAGTTTGACATGCTTGGCTTATACGAACTGTGTTTCGAAGCCTAACCTGCATTTTAACCCTAATACTAAATATAGCCCTAATTCTACTATCCTTAAGCTGACGCCTAACACCTAACCCTGCTTTACAACACATACATACAAATAACTTATACAATGTATAAAATGATGTTTAACATCCTTAAAAAGTGCATTTATTAATCATTAAATAAGTCAAATGGATACCTGTATCTGTATGGGCAGTACCTTGGTAGTAACCCATGCCATTCCAGGTACCATAACCACTACGGTGGGCTGTAGTAATTATGGTGCTTGGGGTGTTATTTAAACAGGCATAAAAAGTGAAGAGGACCCTGCTCAATAAGGTTATAATATAAGACAGAAGCTAGTTCAGAACAGGACCATCAAAATTCTTACCTTTATGGTAATGCTCCTATTTTCTTTTTGTAGGATATTACATATTCTGTTTTAATGCATATTTATTAGACTTTTTATACCATTCTGCTGGTATACATTTTTTATTGCAAGACATTGCATTTTTTTAGTCTCTCGTTTTCCATTTTCCTTTATGGTGTCATATTTAAAAAAAAATACGCATAGGAAAGGATTTTTGTTTCTTACCTCTTAGGAAGTTGTGGTTGTTAATGTGGAAAATATTAATGTCTGACAGAGCCTCGCTAAGGATTTTGTGGATGAAGTATGTCAGGTGTGGCATCTCAAATAATATTCAGTACAATAACAGATGACATTTCTTTTATTATAGAATCTGCAGTTAAAGAGAAACAATGTGTTTAAAAAAGATTGCCTATTAATTTAATGTATTGTATAGATAATGCATCAAAATAATGCAATCAAATAAGAGATACTCAGATAATCTAACTGCAGCTTTAGGCAGATCCCTTGCATTCCAGGAAGAGGTCCAGTCAGGATCTTCTCATTCTAGTCTATAGGTTTTGATCTTATCTCATAAACCCATGTCCAGCAAGTGTTTAAGATAAATAGATTAACTTTTAGCTGGAGTTTCACTTATTGGTTGGAATTGCATTAAAAAACTGATGGAGTTATGGTAAGTGTAAAAGGGGGTTTAATTATTTCATGTGCAGAGGTGGTAGGGACGTATTCAATTAGGGACAGAGCAACTATTATGTTAGGAATGCAAGTTTGTATTCCTAAGCTACAGTGTTCATTTAACACAGGAACACACTCATTTATAAAAATATAATCTTTATTATAAATCCAAAAATACAAATATTCTCACATGTATTAAAAAACATATCACAGGTTAAAAGAATATACAAATGTTACATGTATAATTAAATGCCCAAACATCTATTAAGTACATTAGATCCATCAGTCCTGAATTGTATAGAAAATGAGCATTAATATAATGGATTACATACCAGTCAACCACGATACAATGAGAGGAAAATAAAACTGACAGCAAAACAAAAAAATACCCCTAACATTTCAACCCAAAGCCTTTTTCAAGGGAAGAACAACTTAAAGGGACACTCCAGACACCAAAACAACTTCATATAAATTAAGTTGTTATGGTGCCAGGAGGCCCCTATTACCTCCAGGGCTTAAACTGTTCTTGAACGGTTTAACCCCTGTGTTGCCGCCAGCTGCAATGTCAACTCCCCCCCAGACAGCATCTGACTTCTGAAATCTCAGTTTCAGGAAGCATGGAGTGCCACCAGGTAGGGGTGTCGCTGATTGGCAAGGAGCGGTCAGCTGACAATGTCAGCCAACCAGTGGCTCACCATTCACAAAACCGGCTTGGAAAGATATGTACCTTTTCCAAGCCAGTTTTGTGAATATGAAGTCACTGATTAGCTGAGAGCGTTAGCTGGCGGCTCTCAGCCATTCAGCAGCATCCCTGATCGGCATCACTCCACGGTTCCTGAAACTGAGATTTCAGAAGCCAGATGCCACCTGGGGGCAGTTTAAATCACTGCTGGAGGCAACTCAGGAGTTTAAACCATTCGAGAACGCTTTAACCCTTTGAGATGAGCATGCCGCATGGGAGCTCCTGGCACAAAAACAACTTTGGTGCCTGGAGTGTCCCTTTAAACAAAGTCTGATTCACAGTTTGGTTATGAGCCCCTCTCAGAGCTTATAGTGGGTGTAGCACAGTTAAAATATATTTTTGCTCATAAAATTATTCAGTTGTGCCATCTAAAATATTTTTAGTACTGATGAAAATGATATACAGTTGTATATATATGTAAACAGGAAACTGTTATAAGTCAGTTTACTGCTTAATAAATAACAGATTTCGATAAGAAACAGGAAGTGGTTTTGTACCAGCATTAGTGAGGGATAAATTAACAAATGCACATTTAAATATCACGTTTTGTTACTCAGTTCTGTAATACTGTGGTTTAATAGTGTACTGATTTAAAGGAATACTATATTTGCAAAGATCACTTCAATAGAGTGGTGTGGATGCAGTTTCCCTGTCTTCTTAGTTTTTGAGAAACTGCAATGTTTACAGGGTTAAGTCCACTTTTAGGCACGGCTAAACGTTTTTCAGCATTTTGCATTTACTTAAAGGAACACTATAAGGTCAGGAACACAAAAATGTATTCCTGGCCCTACAGTGTTAAAACCACCATCTAGCCCCCCTGGTTCCCCTTGTCTTCTTAAATATAGTAAAATCTTATTTGTTTTCATGTCTACAGGGCTGCCTCTGCCCCTGATATGTCTGCTTTCAGCTGACATCATCAGAAGTGATTCTGTGAGTCAATCACAATGCTTTCCCATAGAATTGACTGAGACTGAAGAATAGAAGGCAGATCAGGGGCAGAGCCAGCACAAGTCAAATACAGCTCTGGCCAATCAGCATCTCCTCGTAGAGATAAACTGAATCAATGCATCTCTATGAGGAAAGTTCAGTGTCTGCATGCAGATGGTGGAGGCACTGAATGGCAGCACTGCACAGTGTGTAGCACTGTCCCAGGAAGCAACTTTAGCAGCCATCTGAGGAGTAGTCAGTGGAGTTATCCCTATGCTGCAATGTAAACACTGCCATTCTCTAAAAAAAACAGTGTTTACTACAAAAAGCCTGAAGGGAATGATTCTACTCACCAGAACAAATACAATAAGCTGTAGTTGTTCTGGTGAATATAGTGTCTCTTTAACTGCACCGCTTTTTACTATTATATGCATTGTTTGTTGTTTTTATTGATGTTATGAGTTAAATAAAATTATTGGTTAAAGTATATTTTTGGCAAGTGATTCCAGAAGTCAGGCCCCCAATATTCCTCCTTGAAGAGTCCATGCCTTCTCTGTGATATCACAGGTGGCAAAGTGGTAAGCAATGCTGAAGGAGCCTTGGCACAGTAAAAAGGCAATTAAAACTTTATTTTTTTTTTCTAATTTTTATTGAAAGAAAGGGGACACACACACCTATGTAGAGATAGGGAGAGGGACCCTATACCGTTAGGAATACAGGTTTGTATTCCTAGCGCTATTGTGCACCTTTAAAGGGTTACTTCAACCCTTTTTTGCAATGATTTTACTTTGTCTATATGCTTTAAAATTGGGCCTGGACTTAACAAAATATGCACTATTTAAATAGTTAAGAAAATTTGGTGCTTAGAGATTTAATTATGAATAAAATAAATAAATAAAAAAGCCTATGGTAGTCATTAAGACCCCAATATTATTATTGCTGCCCAATCACTAGAAAGGCCAATCCTGTAAAAAACAAATGGGGGTGGGGCATAGTCCCTCCCATGCCACCACCCATAAGCTTCTGGTGGAGTACTTTAAATTAAATAATGGGGCTTGACAGATCAGTGTCCACCCTCTTCCCCCAACCATATTGCTAAAATATGATTTTCTTCTCAAAATAAATCCTCCCTCACTTCTCCTCCCACTCTTTCCCTGCCTCCCCTTGCCAGCTGAAGTACACACATGCTCTATGAGCCGGGAAAATCAGTCTAATCACAGCCTTCTGTATGAGAAGCTTGTGATTGGACCTGGTTCAGCTGCATACATGTCACAAAGAGACTTGGAAAGCGGCACCGGGAGCTTTGGAGTAATTTTGGAATAACCCTTGAAGTGAATATGAGAATTAGCATTCTAGTTGGAGTTTGGTCATTTCCATTGGATTAAGTCCATTTGGACAAAAGCCAGTGTTTTGTTGTAAAACTAACTTCGAATACAGCGCCGGACTAAATTCTCCTCAATTTTATAACATGACAGGAGGCTTCATATTTGCTTAAGTCTCTCTTTACTAGAACTCCACAGCAGCAAAAAAACACAGAGAGTAAACAACCAATCAGAAAACAGTAAGAAGACCATATAACTCCCTTCTCAACATTCCATTTCCTCTTTCTTTGCTGCTCAGCATCAGTTCAGGTCAGAGTACCACTGCCTCCTGCTAATATTAGTTGGTGGCTTTGGGATTTTAATATATCTCTGTATATTTTTTTTTATATTATTTTCTTTTCTTTTATTATTTATTTGGGGACTGTTTTGTTTTGTAGTGTAGGCTATCTGCCTTTCTCTTTCCCTCTGAGATAGGGGGGAGTTTCTCCCCTTTACTATTTTCACTTCTGGGGCTCTGTCCCCTCTCATTTTTCACCTGGTTTTTCCGTGCTGACGGGTTTTGTTCTGGTGGGGGGTTTCTGTAGGCCGGCCTTTTGCTGCCTCCCCCGATCCCCCCGAGCCCTCGGGACCGCGGAGTACGTCTCCAGTGGTCCCGTGTGTGCTTTCTCCTCCTCCGATCACGAGGTGCTCGCGATCGAGCGCTCTACCCGCCGACCGGAGCTTTTCCACGTGGCCGCCGGTTGCAGCCAGATCGATCCACGGACCGCGCCCGTTGTACTCCTCTGTAAACACACACATGGTCCCTGGGGTTCCCGTGGCCTGAGGCCTATCTAGGTCCTGGCGGTCTGGGAACACCCCTTACTCCCCTGCACTTAACCCTTCAGTTTAACACTACTATTTGTTTGTGCTGGGGTTGTACACAGGATTGTTATGTTTTATGGGGGTTTTCACTATTTCTATATGTGAGACTTTACATTAGTCCTTTAACACAAGGTCTTTCAGGTTCTCTATTTGGCTAACTGAGGAGCGCTCCAGTAAAAGTGACCCTTCATATACCTTACACCACTCATTAGTGACCTGGCCTGCGCTGTCTGTACCCCTATGACTGGCCTGCTTTGTCTGTGCCCTTATGACTGGCCTGCTTTGTCTGTGCCCATAAGCTTAGCCTGCTCTGTCTGTACCCACTGACTGGCCTGCCCTGACAGTGCCCTATTTCTGAGCCGACGTTTGTCCCAGGGCCGTCTTTAATATGGATTGGACCCTGGGCAAACATTTGCTTGGGCCCCCTGAACCTTGTCGTCCCCTCCCTGGTATGCAATCATGCCCCCCACCCCAATGCAGAGGCGGACGTAAAGTAGAGAGGGCTCTGGTGCATGAATTATTTTGGGCAAGAGGGGGCAAAAGGTAGATCCCCATCTGTCATGCAACTCCAACAATGCTTTGACAGCTGGGGCACTACCATTTTCCCATGCATGCAGGGTTATATTTAGCACTGAGCAGTATTTGTGTGTTTGAGTGTAAGCATGTTTTTGTATGGAGTATGTTTGTGTGAATGTAGGGGTGTGTTTGTATGTGGAGATGGCATTTAAATGCAAGTATGCATTTATGTGTAGTGTTGGTTTATGAATACACTGGTGTGTTTATATATAATTTTGTTGTTTTAAAAAAGAGGTGTGTTTATATGTAGTGTTGAAGTTTGAATGCAGGTGTGTATTTGCGTGTAGTGTTGAATGCTGAGATGTATGCACAAATACACATGCACTGTCACAAACACACACACACAGAAACACTTGCAGATACACAGATATACACAATCATACAGATGCAGCTATACAGACACATTTACACACACTGACACACACACACAACCTGGCACACATGCAGACACACAGATGCACACACGCACACACGCAGATACACTGACAACATACAGATACACAGACACACACAATGACAACATACAGACACACAGATACATAACCTGACAAATGCAGATACAAACACTGACACACATGCAGATACACACATTGGCTACATACAGATACATGCACAGGTATACACACTGGCACACATACACAGATACATACATACTGACAACATACAGATACTCACTGACACACACACACACACAGACACTGTGACAGACATACTGACACTGTGACAGACATACATACTGACACATACACAGACATACTGACTGGCACACCGACATACATACAGACACACAAACTGACACACACAGACATACTGACATACACACAGATATACATACTGACACACACATAGACATACAAACTGACACACACACAGACATACAAACTGACACACAGACATATACTGACTGACACATACATACTGACACACACACAGACATACATACATACTGACATTCACTCAGACATACATACATACATACTGACACACACAAGACATACTGACACATACAAAGACATACATACTGACACACACACATACATACATACTGACACACACACATACATACATACATTCTGACACACACACACATACATACTGACACACACACACACACACAGACATACATACATACATACTGACACTCACACAGATATACATACATACTGACACACACAAAGACATACTGACACACACAAAGACATACATACTGACACACACAAATACATACATACTGACACACACATACATACATACTGACACACACACATACATACATACTGACACACACACAGACATACATACATACATACTGACACTCACACAGACATACATACATAAATACTGACACTCACACAGACATACATACATACTGACACACACAGACATACTGACACACACAAAGACATACATACTGACACACATACATACATACATACTGACACACACATACATACATACATACATACTGACACACACAAAGACATACTGACACACACAAAGACATACATACTGACACACACACAGACATACATACATACATACATACATACTGACACTCACACAGACATACATACATACTGACACACACAAAGACATACTGACACACACAAAGACATACATACTGACACACACACATACATACATACTGACACACACACATACATACATACATACATACTGACACACACACAGACATACATACATACATACTGACACTCACACAGACATACATACATACATACTGACACACACACAGACATACATACATACATACTGACACACACAAAGACATACTGACACACACAAAGACATACATACTGACACACACACAGACAGACACTCTTTAGTTTTCTACCTTTGAAAGAGGCTTCCTTCTCTGGGGACCAGTGTGCTGGCTGGGGTAGTTGGAAGTTGGGAGTCTGGCTATTCTTGCTCCCCCTCCTCACTGGATGCTGGCTCAGCAGCCGCCCGGGCGGCCCGATGTCTTTGAGGTGGGAGGAAGTGATTCGCGGTCGTCACTTCCTCCCATGCAGCCGTTAAGCAAGGACCCGGTCGCGCTGTTAAAGGGCCACAGCGCCGACCGGACCCCTGCTGGAACATGCTCACTGGGTGGCCCTAAAGGTATGGGCCACCCGGTGGGCCCCCTTAGTGTGCGGTCCCCGGTGCAGCCGCAATACTAGCACCGCGGGCCCATTAGGTAGGGAAATATTTTAAAAAAATAATTTTTTATTGCAGGCGACGGGGCCCATGAGTAACTGGGCCCAGGGCAGCTGCCCCGTTTGCCCCTCCTTAAAGACGGCCCTGGCTTGTCCGTGCCTAAATCCCTTACGGCCGCTGGCCTAGGATATTATACGGGGAGATTTTATACTGGGGGTCCACCACGACCATGCTATGGACACTGGCAATTGTGTCCATATACATTGCTCCCATAATAGCTGGGTGACAGGTGTCATTTCTACCCTCGGGGTCACGCTACGGTCAGGATATGGACAATCCAACCCAAGAAAGCCTACAGGCTATGATTAACTCGGCCGTTCCCACTTCTGTATCAGAGACTCAGCTCACGCTGATAGAGTCCGGCCCTGAATCACCGGACAGAGACCAAACAAGCGCTTCTAAGCACTACTGGAAGGGTGAAGGCCCTGAGCCGAGTACCCAGAAGGGTAAGGCCCCTGCAATGAGACCCAGGCGGACAACCGCCTCATTACCAGCACGCCCACGATACTTCCCCGAAGAGGAGGAAGAATTCACCCTCCCCACACCCCTGTCCGTACTGGATGAATGGCAGGCAGATCAATCCCCCTCAGAGGATGAAGGTGGTTGGGGTGAGGAAGAACCAGAGGAGTCGGCGTACCAACAGGACACCGATGAAGCTGGTTCGCAACACCTACACTCCACCTATGGGGAGGACGTGTTCTTGGACACAACGGGCAAGCCCCTGTTCAACCCACGCACCATCTGGCACCCCAGGTCTCCTGAGTGGTCCCTACCCGAACATCTGGCCCAGTTCGTCCATTATTGGGTTTGCAGACCCCTCGATTGGGCAGTTCGGAAGAGGTTGAGGGCTGAGTGCCCTAGGCCCACCTTACCAGACAAGGTCGATATGACGCCCGAGTTTGACACGATGGTCTCCATCTATTTGACCCGTCCCGGTCGCGATCCCAAGAAAGGGATCGAAAGCAATCTCCGACTGGTACAAGATAAGGTGCTTGACATGTTGGGGCCACTGGAATGGATCCGTACTATGGCAGACAAGGCTGTCTTGCAGGGCTCGCCCCTGGATGCTGCAGCCATAAGAGATCGGGCATTACGCTCCATTTGCCTGCTGGGCAACTCCAACGTGGCATTATGCATGGAGCGGAGGAAGGCTGTCCTCATGCGCATGGACACTAAGTTATCGGAGTTGGGATCCAAGGAACTGGGACCCTTGGCCAAAGGGCTGCTTTTGGAGAACCTTTCATCAAGGAGCTCCAGAGGCACGTCAACCTCTATGCCACTCTGAACAAGGCCCAATCTTCGATGAGGAGGGTGTTCCGCTCTCACACCTCTCGTGTTTTTGGCAGGGCTGGAATGCAGCTGTGTCATGCCTCCACCTGCTTCTGGCCATCGAGCCACCGATGATCCCTTACACCATCCTTCTTCCCCAGCTACCACTCTGGGTCCTTCATCTCCCAGAGGTCAGACCGTGGCAGAGGGAACCGGACGCGTGGTAGGGGCAGAATGCCCACAGGTGAGACAAGTTACACCACGTGTTTTTCCCAGTCCTTTGCATGCCGGCAGGTTACGTTTTTGTCTCGACAGAATACTCCAAACAGTCCGAGGTTACGTTATAGACTTCCATTCACCCCCAGTCCAGGAGGTACCTCTCCCTCCCTCCCCCCCCCCAGCTACAGTGTCATCAAGAGTGCTTCAAATCCTCGGCGGCTCGATGGCCAAAATACAGGCCCTCTTCGACAAAGGGGCAGTTCAGTGGGCGCTGGACGACGGAGGTTTCTTCAGCTCGATTTTCCTAGTCAGAAAGAAGACAGGAGATTTCTGTCCGGTTATAAATCTGAGGAACCTGAATGGCTTCATTTCCTATCAACACTTCAAGATGGAGGGCATCCATCTTCTAAGAGACTTACTGCGCCCAGGGGATTGTTTCACTCGCCTAGACCTGAAGGACGCATATCTATCCGTACCGGTGGAATCCGGATGCCGACTATTCCTACGTTTTGTTTGGAAAGGGAGGCCATGCCAATTCACCTGCCTACCCTTTGGCCTCAGCTCGGCACCTTGGTGTTTCACCAAACTATTGAAACCAATAACAGCATGCCTGTGCTCCAGGGGCATTTGGTGCTTGATATATCTGGATGACTTGCTTCTCTTCTGCGAGGATGCCTCCAGGCTGAAATCTCAGACGCTCTACACGGTCTCCTTGTTCGAATCCCTGGGGTTTGTAGTCAACCGAGAGAAGTCGGCCCTCACACCGATGCATATAGTTAAATTTTTGGGGTTCGAAATAGATGCGACTTAGTGCATCCTACGCCTCCCTCAGGCCAAGATCACAGCCATTCGAAAAGAGATCCTACGGATCCTGCGTAAAGAAATTATCCCACTCAGGGTCCTGGCACAAGTGGTAGGCCTCTTGTCCACATCGATCCAAGCCATCTACCCAGGTCCCCTTCACTACAGGGCCATGCAACGCCTGAAGGTAAGCTTCCTGCGCAGGAAGCCCTCATATGACCAGCTGATTCCCATCACGCCAGAGGTCAAGACCGAACTTCGTTGGTGGCTATTACACACGTCAGCCTGGAACAGCAAGGTGATTTTCGGACCGACCCCGGACTTTGTCCTGGAATCGGATGTGAGTCTATGGGGCTGGGGAGGACAAGCACGGAAACAGGGTATCACATCAACTGCCTAGAAATGATTGCGGGCTCATTCGCTATAGGGAGCCTTGCAGGTCATCTGTCGGATTGCTGCATCCTGCTGAGAATGGACAACGTATCAGCGGTGCAGGGAGCCTATGCACTTCCACCATTCACTATGATCTCCAGGGTCCTTCTCCTTCTGGTTCCCAGAATTGCTAGAGCTGTCATATCAGGACCCGCTCCTTCTCCCGTCTCCGCATCTGCTCCTGTCGGATTCTTGAGGCAATCATCACCCCCTTGTGCTGGAAGGCCATCTCCACTTGGTGGCTTGGACTCTTTCTGGGGTACCTGGAATGTCGATGAGCTATCGGGATCAGCTAGAAGCCTCCTCTGGGACTCATGGGCCCCAGGAACGTGGAGATGATATCTGTCCGCCTGGAACATATGGTGTCGTTGGTGGATGGAACAGAGTATCGATCCCTTTACAGCACCTATATCCAGCGTACTGAATTTCCTTTCTCACCTCTTCGACCAAGGGAGGTCATATCGCTCTGTTAACATTGCCAGATCAGCCATTTCAGCGGCTCATGTTCCCCTTCAGGGGACGCCCATTCGACAAGATCCATTAGTTTGTAGACTATTGAGAGGAATCAGACTGTCACGTCCACCGGCTCCTAAGTATACATCACTCTGGGATGTACACCTGGTTTTGGATTTCATTCAGGCATGGCCGGAGAATCAGGACCTTTCTCTACGACAGTTATCGGCCAAGTTTACACCTCTTTTATGCCTAGTATCGTTTCGTCGGGTCTCCAACGTCCGGGCTTTTGATATTAATGCATTCACCTTTTTCCCAGATGGGGTGACCTTTTCAGTGTCGAGACGTACCAAGTCCGACTCGACTGCCATTTTCTATCCTTTTTTTCGAGAAGCTCCTAAGCTCTGTGTGGTTTCTGCTCTGTCTCGCTATGTGGCAGTTACTACCCCGCTTCGAAGTTCCCAATCGGGACAGCTGTTGATATCTTATGTACGTCCGCATAAACTGGTTTCTGCCATTACTTTGGCTCGTTGGATCAGATGGCTTTTGTCGTTGGCTGGCGTGGACTCCTCATTTGGTGCTCATTCGGTAAGGGGCGCAGCGGCGTCAGGAGCCCTGGTAGCATATTCTACGTTCAGCAGACTGGTCTTGAGAAGACACATTTCGACAGTTTTATTTCAGACCGATGGAACATGCAGCTTTTGCCTTACTGGCTGAGCGTTGAAACAGCAAATATGAAGCTTCCTTTAATGTTATAAAATTGTAGATTATTATAGCTTTAGTGTACCTATAATCCTTATTTTATTAATGACAGGAGGCGAATATTTCCCACCCGTTTGTTCCCGACCCTTGTTTGTATTTATTATCTGGTATGTTGAATATTAATAAAGATATATGTCTCTGGTCAGTGTTCGTTGTGGTTATTTCCTAGATATGTTTTACATTACTGTCTGGGCTGGGATCTGTAAACTTGGTGGTGTTCACTATGAATTTGCACTGAGTGGCTGCATGCTTTTATACGTACATTTCATTGGCTAATCACAATTTTCGATTCTGTTTATCTCGTTTCATTGTAAAGTTTCCAGGATGAGATCACGTCCAAGTTTTCGATTCGGTTGAAGATTCCTATGAGAGTCGTTGTTTCTGTCAGAGATGGACTGTTATAGTTATGTTATGTTTTTTCTGTGTTTTGTTATCGCAGTTTGAAAGAGGAAATAGAATGTTGAGAAGGGAGTTATATGGTCTCCTTACTGTTTTCTGATTGGTTGTTTACTCTCTGTGTTTTTTTGCTGCTGTGGAGTTCTAGTAAAGAGAGACTTAAGCAAATATTCGCCTCCTGTCAATTATAATATTAAGATTATAGGTACACTAAAGCTAGCATAATCTACAATTGTGACCCTATTGGCTCCGTCATCATGTGGTGTGCAATGTCTGCATTCACAAGTGGTGAGATGAGCTGAGTAATAGCTCATCTCGCAGCTAAAGCCCACAATCCTCCTAATCGCTGAGGATGGGAAGGAGGTAGTGCTGTACAAACAATGGTGGGTAAGAGGACAAAGGACAGGCTTGAGCGAGGTTGGGATATTAAAATTGAGCGGTTAATAGAAACATTTCCGTTCAGATTGTGAACAGGCTTCTTCTTGATCTGCTATTTGGCACTATGAATAGTTTATATATAGAACACTCTGTAAATTGGTTACATGAGGATTCAGGGGTTAATCAAAGGAACATTGCAATCATCACTCCAAGCACCATAACCACTTCGGTGTTATTGCATGAGGAGTGCCCTTGCACCCCCTGTTGTAAGCTATCAAATCATTACTAAAGGTTTGACAACTTACCTGGGGCCGGTCACTTCCTACACTGAGAGCCAGAAGCTCGTGTACAGAGCTTCCGTTAGCTCTCTTGAATTAACTATGCTGTGCAGGGTCAGCTCATTGTCTTATCCAGTCAGCCAGTGAACTAAACCTTGCACTACCGGCCTTAGAGAGAGCTTCTAAGTGACATGGCAGAGATGACTGGTGGTATGCGAATCCCCAGTTTTGTTCTCAAATTATTCATTTACAGTTTGATTACTCACATTGGGAGTGCCAGGGCATGCGTGGGAGATAAACTATTACAAAAAGATGTAGTGGTTATGGGACTTGGAGTGTTCCTTTAAAAAATCGAGTACGATGGATGCAATGATCAAGCTAATTGGTAAATAGAATGGATTAGTCTCTGGGGTCTCTCTCATGAATTTTATCTGTGAGATTTTAATGCTTTAGTTAGTATTTCTTGGGAAAAGATCAATTCTGTTATCTGAAAAGTGCTGTGTTCAATGAAATAAATAAGCTCAATGGGCCAGTTCAGCTAATTGTGATATTTATCAGATGATGTAATTGGGTTGTTTTAAAACTTTCTATAATACACCTATCTTAAGCAAAAAGGAAATAAATATATATTTACAAACCTTTTAAATATATGGAATTATTGCACTTTTATTTATTGTTTTATCGCTGGATACATGAGGTTAGAAGCATTGATACAGAGCATCAGAACCAGGACTAAAAAGGATTGAAGAAAATGTCCATTATCTCTGAATCCATAGGCAGAGGCACTTAGAGAGCAAATTTGTCTATACAGATGATAGTGGCTTGGTTTGTACAAGGATTATAAATATTTTCTACAAATAATAAAACCAAATGGGTCTGAATGCAAGGAAGCACTCCGGGTAAGGAATGTGTTTCTTCCCCAGCCTGCAGAGGTTAGACATTAATATTGTAAAAGTAATACAGGAAAAAGAGCCAATGAAAACACAATATGGGTGTTTTTAAAGTACTGTGACATTGTTACCCATAGCAAGAAGTGGATACTGAGCTTGAATGTTAGACATGGACATGGGCAAGAATGTTTCCAGATCAGGGATTTTAATCTAGATTTGGCCATCAAGATTTCAGTTCACTACAATTTGAAGTTTACTGAATAAACCCCATGGAGGAGGATGATGACGATTGAGATAATGATAAAACTATTAATACATTTCTATTTTTATTCTATTTTTAAAATTCATATTTTGCATTAAAATGCATCATAAAACAAAAAATATGCAAAGATGTATTGATATATAAACATCTTACAGTGAACTATTATTACCAATTATATGCACTGTAATAACCTGTCCTTGTCTCCTCATGATAAATAATTGTGAATCCAATTCATGGATTCCTTTGTTTCAATAGTCATATTGTGTATCGAGACATATTTAAAGGGACACTCCAATTTCCATAACCACGGTTATAATAGTTATAGTGTCTGGAACGCCCTGGCATTCCCACCTTCAATGTAAGTAGTCAAACCATTTGTCAAAGGTTTGATTTCTTGCCTAGGGTCTACTGGGCACCGCTCGTTGCCTTTTCTCTTCCACTACAGAGTGCTTGCAGACTCTGCTAAGAGCTTCCTTTAGCTGTCCTGAGATAAGCCATGCTGTGCTGTGTTACATTTACAGTAAACTCTGCCATTAGAAATTACTGACTGTTAAAACATCCAAATGTTACACCCAGTGATCAGGGTGGCACAGTGGTATGGCCTTAAGAGAGACGTCAGCTGATGCTGATAAACCAACCCAGGAATGTTGCTGTATGGGTTGTGTTCCAGGACAGCAGAGATCTGATCGGAACATATAGTATCAATACAGGCATCAAACTAACATTGGGTGAGAGGAACTAAATGGAATGGATATAAAATAAACCAAACAATTTATCCTCCACTGCTTGCTTTTTATATGTGTAATTATTATTATTACTGCACAGAATCTCCTACCATAAGTAAAACAATAAATGTCAAGCCAGTCTTGCTACATTACTTACCATTATGCACTTATTACCATTTATGAATAACCAACATTTTCTGCAGTTCTGTACTTAACAGAATAGTAAATAATTAAATTAGAGATATACTTATAGACAGAACCAGAAAACATTGCTGATTCTGTAAAGTCCTCTCCATCCCCCCCCGTCAACTACTTAATGATGAATTCATCTTAAGAGATATGAATATAAGCCTGGCTTGTGAGATTCGGAGAGGTATGTCATGGAGTCGGAATGATGGGGGTAAACAAAACAGTGCTTCAAAAAACTTTTAAGGCCAACTAAAGTAAGGAAACTACAGGGATGTAAGATATGGGGATTCAGGTGGTTAGTTGGAGCATTCCTATGTGTTTCCATATATACTATATAGTAACACAGTAACTATTACATAGTATATCTACAAAATATACATGTATATGAAGCTGTGTGTTAAAAACAAAACTAAACAAAAACAGAAAAGACCTACTGCAATAACGTTTACTTAAATTACAATCTTAATATTTCTTAGAACTTCCTTTACAAACGGATTAAAAAGAATGGAGATTGCCTTGTAATAATAATTGGAGGGCCAAAAAGTAATTGTCAAATTACTTATGGTGATTTCAGAGCAATTGCTGACTCTGACAAGAACCCATTACATACAAACTAAATTGGAATAGATGATTTACTGTAATTGATTATGGTGTGTCTCTTTGTTTGTAGAAAACTAGACTTTTAATGTTTTATGTTATACAGCTGTCAATTCTTTGCACATATACACATTAGTTAACTTTTTTGTTTATGTGCTGCAGAATAGCATATGCTCATAAGTTTACTTTAAATGAATATTTGTTCATGTTTCGAAGGTAAACAGAGTGCAGACATGATTTAATTTAATTCTCTCTTTGGTATTTGTTTTTAGCTTTCTTGCTACATGCATGTAATAGGTTCTTTTTTTTAAAATGTTCATGTTCATTTTAAATTTCTGTAAAAAATTAATTTACATCCAACAAACCAACTGTTTAGTTTTTTTTGTTCCATTGTAATAGCCACATACAAAGTATTAATTTACATATTTGCACATACGAGTACAGTCTGTTGAGCTACACCTGGCTTACAGGTAATATGCAAACTGAGCTCTTGTGTATCTGGCTTTTTCCTTTTCTCTTATACAAACACATATTCTCTTTATGCTCTAGTTATCAGCGGATGTGGACGCTTGCAGGACCTGCTGTCCTTCTAATACATCAAAACACGCTCAACAGCAAACATGTCTCATTCTGATTCTGAGGACTCTGACTCCCCAAATAGTAAATTCAGATTAGAAGCCCATGACAAGGATACACTTGCTGCATTCAGCAAGGGAGACCAGAACAAAGATGGGGAAAAAGATAAGAAGCCCCCAATGGAATCAGCTCTCCAAAAAGAAGGCAACGATTTTCCCATTAATATTGGATTCAATATGGATTTCTTGCCCAAAGTTCAAGGCAATGGGAACAAGTAAGTTTGTACACCTTACTTATTTCTGATGCGGTATGCAAATAAAGTGTATTTTCCAGCGTGGTTCCCCTAGGAAGCAATAGCATTGGTTATTGGAATCATTGGTAACATGACAATAACATAATGTAAAGAAAAAGTAATAGCTTCATGAAACAAAAATATGTCTTGGTAGTTAGTGGTAAGCATGCTTAATGTAGAACAAAAATAGAGAGCAAAAATGTCTCTATTATTCCCTAGTATAGAAGGGTGAATAATAATAAGCAGTATTTGTTTATACTCCGAGTGTTTTCTCTTTTTCATGAGTGTTTAACATTTACTTATGGTAAATTGATCATTTACCATTTGGGATTGAGTTCTGTCATTTAGTTGATAATTCACCATCTATGACTCCTTTGTGAACAAACCCCATGATGTTTTCTATTATGCATCATTCAAAATGTGCTTCCAAAATCACACACAATTCAAAAAGGGGGAAGTACTTATTTAGGTATATTGAGTAAATATTGTTATTATGCTTCATATGGCACCCATACCTTATAATGCAACATTTAGTAAACAAAAGACACAGAAGATACACAGAACCAGACCAGAAGGTTGCCCAGGGCCCTAGGTAGGATGCCAGATGGGGTCCCCTCATAGAGCCCTGGGCGTTCGCTAATGCATCCCTTCTTTTTTGTATATATATATATATATATATATATATATATATATATAAAGATATTAATATACAATTATAAGCTTGGGGTATGTGACTGGATGGATAAATGCAACTATTTCGAGGTATGATTGGATGATGAATGCGGGTGATTGGATGATAAGTGGGACAGGACTGTGAGAGCGTGGTGTGAGTGTGGAGTGGAGGCTGATAGTGGGGTTATGTTTGGGTGTTGCTTGTGGTGTTGCATGTTAGTAGGTATGCTACTTATAAAGTTTGATTTTGGACTGTGTGTGATTGCTTGTGGTGTTGCATGCTAGTAGGGATGCTACTTATAAAGTTTGATTTTGGGCTGTGTGCGATTGCTTGTGGTGTTGTGTGTGTGAGGGCTGTAGGGTGTTTTTGGGAGGGATAGGGGTTGTAGCGTATGTGTGAGGGCATAGGGGCAGTGGTGTGTGTTTGGGGGCTGCTAGAGACTGTTATGTCTGTGCTGGACCTGTAGTTTATATTGCAGGGACAATGTGGAATGTTATGAGCATTTGCCCCACACTCCAGCTCCCTGGTCAGTAGCTCGGTGCAAAATTCAAGGCACAGATATAAAAAGTCTAAGATGAGTGCACTCGTGGGATTTAGAATTCAAATTGATGATTTTATTGATGCAAATTCATGAAAATGTTTTAGTCCTGCCTAGACTTTTTTTGCTTGAAAAAAGTCCAGGCAGAACTGATATGTTGACCATTGTTTTCAAAATGTAATAGACAACACTTAATTAATTGAACAGCCAACCCCCGCTTGTTCCTCTCTTCTAATACCACTTTCCCTCACTTTATTCCTCTTTTCTCAAAACCTACTTCCCTAACTTTATTTCTCTTTTCTCATACCCACCAATTGCTCTCTTGCGTCTCCACTCCTCCTCTTTTTCAGCACCCCCCTCAAAGCACAAATCTGAATGCTGCCCAGCAGCATTAGGGTTGCTGAATTACGGCAAGCAGCCAGAGGTACAGAAGGTCATACAGGGTTATGATGGGGACATCATCATAATGCGCTCTCCTGTAATTCTTCCGGCTGTCTAACAGGAAGAGATGACCTGCCACTACAAGAAGGGGAAAGAAACATAGCTTCAGAGGTCTAGGGTGGCACACAGGGCAGATAATTTTCTTTGGTATCCTTCTTGAATTCAAAACTTTAAAGGGACACCACAAACACCAGACCTGCTATAGCTTACTGTAATGGATATGGTGCTAGGAGGCTATAGGTGCACACCCTCCAGTTTTTGCCAAAAGGTTACTCAGCATCCAAACCCCATTGATTGGACAGAAAGTGGAAATTTCCATCCAAAATGTTTCTTTAAACATATCTGCTTGAATGAGCTTGCATTCTACAGGGAGTTGGGTTAAGTGGAACAAGAGGTAAGGGTATGATATATTTGATGTATGGGAAACTTACTAGAATACTTAACAATGAAGGGTTAGTTTTTTTGATGATACAGTTGCAGCAGAGGGAGCAAGGTGAGTTACCAAGGTGCAGGAAGGGAAAGCTATTTCATTGTTTATGATTTTTATGAAGTAAGTGTTTAATGATCTTTTGAAGGATCTGAGTGTGGGTAAGAGTCTAACAGAGCAGGCAAGTGAGTTCAATTAGAATGGCTCTGCCTTAGAGAAGTCTTGAAGGTGCAAGTTTGAACAGAAGATAGATGCAGATGTTTCGCAGAGTGTAGAGGCTTGGACAGGATATACTTGTGTATTAGTAAGGATAAGTATGTAGGATTGTGCAGCATTGTGCAGCGATTTGTAAGCAAGCACCAGAATTTGAAATTGAGCCCTATATCTTAGGGGAAGCCAGTGTAAGGACTGAAAGAGTGGTGAGGCATGGGAGGTGCGGGGAGACTGGAAGATGAACTTCGCCGCTGCATTTATTATGGACTGTAACGGGGTCAGCTGGAAACACGTAAGACCACTGAGAAGCAGATTTCATAAGTCAAGGTGAGAGAGGATAGTGATATGGACCAGCACCTTAGTTGCATCCGCATAAGGGCAGATACAAGCTATATTTTTGAGATGGAAGGGGCAGGATTTGGCAAGTGACTAGACATTAGGGGTGAAAGAGAGGTTGGAATCAAAGAGAACACCTAGGCAGCAAGCCTGCGAGGTAGAGCTGATGGTAGTGCCATTGGCTTGGAGAAAGAAAGACACAAGAGGAGCAACACTCTCATCTCTTCCACCTGTATCTCCTTCACCTGTTAGTCTCCCACTTGTGTCTTCTGCCTCATCTATCATCATTTTTGTGTCTTCTGCTCATCTATCCCCAATTGTGTGACCCCATCATATGCTTTTCTCCTCCTTATATGCCCCTTTCCTTTATGTTTGCTCACCATTCCAAAACAACTTATATGTCTGCTCTCCCATGGGTCTTTATACTTTCCAAACCCCTCGTATCTTTTTTAAATTCACTGTAAAAATGTTGACATTTAAATGTTAAAAATCACAAATATTGTAGTGATGTGCAATGTTGTGACCTTTGAATATAATTAAAACATACATATTTAAGATTTATAGTGGCATTAATAATGTTAGGAGTCATTACAGTGCACTGCTATACATGGTCCTGAGTTAAGCAGTGTAACCCATGCAATAGTTTAAGCAGTATGTAGGATTTGGAGAGTTGGGGCGAGGTTAGGATTAGGATTTTGGCTTTTTAGAGTTGGAGGTTTAGGTTTAAGGGGGATTGGGTTTTGAGGGTATCCATCTCAGAGGATTTTTTTGGATGAGAATAAAAATGTTTTAATTGTTACAACAGTGTCACTATCTTGTTATAAGCTTTTCAACTTTACTATGTCACTGAAATGTCATTGTCATATTTAAAAAAATTTCACAGTTTGACATTTTATATATATAAGATATATATATATACAGGGTCAATAGAGCTAAAGAATATATAATATTTCCAGTTACTAACAGGGCTGTTTGTACAAAGGGCTCCTTAGACGTGAAGAAAGGAGATATTACATAATGCCACATAATGTTAAGATAGAAAAGTATTCTGTTTATGTGAAATTCTGGTGTAAATTTTCTACCAGTGAGAGGTATTGTGCCCTTTCTGAAAGGCTGTCTGAGCACTCAGCAGACAATGTCAGGTCTAGAACAGGATGTAGACAGGGGAACGTGGATAGAAATTATTAGTGGCATATGACACATTGTAGATAAAAATAATATGAATATTCAGCATATTATATTTTGTGTGTTCTTAGTTATGATAGCAAAGGTGCCCTATCTCTGACATGGACTCAATCAATATGCATAACTGTCTGTAGAATAATAACAAGTGCTGGACTATCTTTCCCTACATGTGAATGTAGAAAAATCTTACTTTAACTCCCAGAAGTAAGTTCAAGCAACATTCACAACTACGTCACTGGCTTTAAAGGCCTTTGTTACCGTGACCTTGAAAACAAGAGAACTGTGATTTCTCTTGTGAACTAACTTCACAATTTCCTAGGTCTCACACCAGCCTTTTCTTATCCTGCAGTTTTCCATCGATATAAAATGTTTTCCATTGCTCCCTCCCCCTCCCGCCACACCTCCTAGTTCTGCATTTAACATCCCATTCAGTTCTTACTAAATCCATGGTAACTAGAGGGACCTATAAACAATGTTATGATTCCACTGCCACAAGTTTGACACCTCTCTCACATAGTGCTTACTTTTTTAGCCTGTTGGACATGCACAGTCCTTAAGAATGGTTTCTGTTTTTACATATACAAAATTAAGATAGAAATCCATTTTACATTAGTTACTAGAACACTGTGCACCTACTGGATTCGGATGAGCCAAACACTAATCTCCCTAGGGATTAAAAATAGTTTTATCTGTTTGGCTAGCAATCAAAGCACTGATGCAGTCTTGTGATCTATTATTCTACAGTGAATATACAATGCCAAATTCATCTGCAGAAGATACATTTTAATACTTTATTCAGTCATATTTTTCCAAAACATGTATTTTAATGCATTAATAAAGAGCATATACCTCATTTACTTATTTAAACCTAAACTGTGTAACTTGATTGATACATTCTTTATCCATATGTAACGTGCTGAAGAAATATATATAAAAATAAGATTCAGCTATTTGTCCTTGTTTTACCTGTATGTCTAGGAAATTTTATAAATTTTTTCAGCTACCAGTCATAAAGCATATTACGGTTTAAAAGTTAAATATTTTCAAAGTCTGATATGATGGTCTTAAGATTGCTCCAAAACAGGTATTTTTAACAGACATTTTTGGCACTTCTAATGTGGATATTTGACTGACATTCCATGTCAAATTTAGTAGTAATATTTTGAGTATTTGTTTTCATACATACATACATACACAAATACCTGCATACACAAAATTCCTGCATGTTTTAAATATATGTAGGAGGCATCTCAATCTCTAGCCCCACCGTGTTGTATGCTGTAGTTAACTACAACTCCCATGATTCTCTAGCCCAGTGTTTCCCAACCCAGTCCTCAAGGCACACCTACCAGTCCAGGATTTAGGGATTACCCAGTTGTGTCTAAGGTGTTTTTACAAAGAAGAAAAAAAACACCTTAGACACAACTGGGTAATCCCTAAATCCTGGACTGGTAGGTGTGCCTTGAGGACTGGGTTGGGAAACACTGCTCTAGCCACCTATTGCATCCAAAAAACAACCGAGAGGCTAGAGTTTTAGATACCTTTCAATAGTGTACATTTGCAAACAAGATATTCCTCTTTGTCATTGCTGTAAAACACACCAATATCATACCTCCTAAGTGCCCCTATTTAGGATGGTTGGTCCTCTTTTAGGACTCAAATCCATCTGTCCCGCTTTTTTAGGAGCTCCATATTGTTTGTGTGTATAACAGATCGCCACAGCAACAATACTCAGCAGTAATGTGTCTTTACAGTACAAAAAATAAGCTTAGAAATCAGTTAGTGTAAATTAGATACATTGCTCTAATGGCATTTTAGTTGCATGAATTGTTACTAGTAAGTCACCTAAAATTTCTCATAATAACCCTGCCCCTGGCCATGCGCCCAATCACAACCCTGAGATTAAAGTGTCCCTCTTTGTCCATTTGAAATGTTGGGAGGTATGCAATATATGTCCAGCTGAACCCCACCCCTTAAATTAACACTCCAAACGCATTAACCACTACAGTCTGCTCAGGAGCATCTGACTCTCTAGGGAGGGGGGTGGACCCCAGTAGACCCCCAACGAGAAGTCAAACCTTTCTAAAACGGTTTGACTAATAACAATGGGGGACACCAATTAATTCTTAGCACTATTACCACTTCAGCATGCTGTATTGGTTATGGTATTTGGAGAGTTCTTATACTAAAGAAATGCCTTCGATTCATAGTTTCATGGGTTTTTGTCACATTGCTTGAGCAAGCATACTTTTTAGTTTCAGAACTTGGAATTTTGACATATTACTGACATATTGGCTGTTGATTGCTTGTAAGGATGCATTTTTGTTAGCTGAGCATGTATCTGTTTATGTCTTCAGTTACAGCACGTGAACACAGCATTGCCCACTCATTTTTTTCATACTTTTTGTAAGATACAAATTAAAAAAAATCCCAATGCTCTCATATTTTAATGTACTCAGATATAAGAAACTTGAATAGCGTGGTTTTTATGAAGTATCTAGATTTTGGGGATTTTCTCTGTAGTAGCACTATTTAAGAGCTGCAAAGAAATATGTGGGCGGTTGTTCACTTATTTGTGTATGATAGTATATATAATGAAAACACTGTCTGTTATTAATAAATAAATAGAAGCAATAAATATAGTTTTTGAGGGTTTACAAAAGGAGAACTATGGACACAGCAATAAAATAGTAAAATTGTAAGTAAGGGGTTAAACTAATTTCCAAGTTATTATCTCCATTAAGCATCTGTCTGAAAAAAATGAACTCTAACTCAGCTGTGAGAAAAAAGCCTGTAGTTTACTCTTGGGGATGTGGCTGCAAATAGCTTTCAGGATGTAAATATTAAAGTGTTGAATGTCCTAAGCCGGGTACATCTCTGCTATGAACTGAGAGGCAGTCATCTAAATAGCAATTTGTTTTTATTTTGAAACAAAATGAGACAAAGGAGGAAAATGCACTCGACTTTCAAACATAATTATTAATGCTCATACCAGTGCTGTTATAGCAATTTTTTTTTTTAAAACAACATAGAGTGCATTTCTAAACACAAATGTATTTAGTATTTAGTAAGAGATTGGCATCATTTTATTTTCATTGTGTTTCTCTTGTATAATAGACAATACAGAATATAAACTTAAATAAAAAAATATAAAATCTGCAGAAACATCTTTCAATAAAACTAGATTTTTTAAAACAAAACACATGAACATGATAACAATACGCAGAACTGTGTGTTTTATTTGATTCATGACATGAAATAAAAACATGCATTTGTAATATCAGAGTAGTTTCCTAACTATTTAAAGGAACACTAAATGTCAGGAATACAAATGTGCATTCCTGACACTATAGTTTTAAAAACATTGTTTAGATTCCAAGCCCCTCTTGCCTCTTTTTAAAAAGGTATTTTACTAACCTTTTTTCCAGTGTCTCGTCCCTCTCTGCCTCCTTGGCTGAGATCATCAAACTTGACAATCTCAGCCAATCCAGTGCTTTCCCATAGTAAAGCATTAGAAGGCCATTGCGCATGCGCAGCAAAATGCAGTGCTGCGCCAACTAGCATCTCCTCATAGGGATACATTGAATCAATGCATCTCTATGGGGAACATTCAGCACCTCTATGCAGAGCATGGAGATGCTGAACACTAGTTCAGTGTGCAGCACTAATTCAGGAAACACCTCTAGTGGCTGTCCGAGTGACTGCCATTAGAGGTGTTAATAGGCAATAATGTAAGCACTGCCTTTTCTCTGAAAATGCAGTGCTTACATTAAAATGGCTGCAGGGGCATACTTTACACACCAGAACAACTACATTAAGCTGTAGTTGTTCTGGTGACTATAGTGTCCTCCTAAATTACATCCCCTACCTTCCCACCCGATTCAAAATCTATATTAATAAGAATTATTTTTCTTTTATCCATTGCCGAACAGCTTGAGGTGGTTGCTCTGCCTTGGCTCAACTTATCAGCAATTATAATTTCAGCCAATCCAATTCTTACCCATAGAGAAGTATTGGGGGTTACTGCACAATTTACTTGCTGCTCCAATCAGCATATCCTCATAGAGATGCATTCGCTCAACTATAGGGAGTGTTTGGTGTCTTCTTGCACTGAATGAAGATGCCGAACGTTGGTCCTGAAAAGATCTTAGGACACAATGTAAACACTGCATTTTCTCAGAAAAGGCAGTGTCTGCATTGCTAAGGCTGCAGGGACAGTCTTTTTATACCAAATCTTCTAGAGTAAGTAGTGGTCCTTAGTGGTCCTTAGTCATTAGTGGTCCTGATGCTTAGCGTGTCCCTTTAACTATTTAGTAAGAAAAGGGCAGGAAGAATCTTCAATTGGTTAAAAAGTAACTAGAAATCTTTTCATGAACATAATTAATCAACATCTATGTGGAATTTCCTTTTACCTAGAACTATAGAAATCGATCCTTCAGATGTCTACACAAGAGACAGAATTTTCGATGCTGTGACAAATGGGGATGCAGATGACTTGGCTGGACTGCAGACGTATCTTCAAAAAACAATGAAGCTCCTAACTAACACAGAATTTAAAGGTATGTGCGCAGAAGAATATATCCGTGCTTATTTTATTTCAACAGTACAGGACATTTTAATAATCCAGGTCATTGTTGCCTACATGGAAGCCTGTGGGTTGATTGCAGTGTTTAAGATTCTAAATTCTGTTTCACAAATGTGTACATTCCTCTACATGTTGCTAAAGGTTAAAAATTCAGCCTACGATTTTAAATATTTGTAGTAAAACAACATGGAGAAGAGTGTTGACCATAAATAATATCTCTGCCCTCCCTCATCTTGCTACAACTGGTGTCCATCAACCTAGATCTTTCCTCTTCCCCTTAAAGGTATACTCTCAGCACCAAAACAACCTTAGCTTAATGAAGCCCTTGCAGTACCACTGCGAGGGTTCTCTGCCATTTAGGAGCTAAATAACTTTCTGTTTATGCAGCCCTAGTCGCATCTCCCCTGGCTAGAAAATCCAGATAAGAATGCACACATTATAGATAATGGGAGGGCAAATCCCCAAACTGTTAAATTGAAGAGACAGCCTGGACACACTGAGATGTTTCCCAGCAGGGAGCAGGGTACAGCAATATGTCATCTCGTTTATGGCGCCTTTAACAAGCTGAAATGTTACGTTACCTTGTTCCCTAAATAAATTCTGTCCTTTGGGAAACTACTGTCTGCATGAACATTTTTTTCCATTTATAATCAGATCTTACAGCACAGTGTATTTACTTTCGATGGTTCTATCTCCTGCTTTAACAATTGAACTTTAATCTGACACAATTTAGACTGTGTCCCAGTTGTAAATATATTTTCATTAGCTATGTCCTCTTACCGCTTTTTATTTCTGGCATTATTAAAATACCATAGAAAATTATGATTTTTAAAGCATTTGTTTTTCACAAGGTTTTGATCACTTATTTTAATTGTTAGCTAAATAATTGAAATTATATATTAATGTGCTTGCTTGTTTTAGTATTATCAATGGGATTGTGTTACAGATTTTTCAGGGTTATACGCCATGCTCTGAATTTACTTTATACAATATTTGGCTGGGTAGGGACTAAGAGGAAAGTATTGTTATAGCTTGTAGATGACTTGAAAGATGTGTATATATATATATATATATATATATATATATGAAAGAAAAGAAGGCGTATACCGCGCCTAGTAGTTATTTTATACAAAAAAATACATACATATATCCTTGAGTATTCCAATCAATTGTAGCCTCAAAAAAAAATTAAAATAAAGAATAATAGTGCAATACAGTAGATGGAATTTTTAAATATAAGCAATTATAGCTATATACAGTCCACTCACATTTGAATGAGCTATAACAGAGCTATGTTATAGCTCATTCAAATGTGAGTGGACTGTATATAGCTATAATTGCTTATATTTAAAAATTCCATCTACTGTATTGCACTATTATTCTTTATTTTAATTTTTTTTTGAGGCTACAATTGATTGGAATACTCAAGGATATATGTATGTATTTTTTTGTATAAAATAACTACTAGGCGCGGTATACGCCTTCTTTTCTTTCTACTATTCATTCACAGGATTGGGGAATCCCTGTTTTGTATACTGCTGCCTGATCACTATAGTGAGCGCCTGTCACTCTCTCTCTTTTTATATATATATATATATATATATATATATATATATATATATATGAAAAAGCTATGGAGGATGGCATGATATGAATGGAGAAGAGACAGGATCTAAATTACACTCAAAAAGGCCGAAGAATGACTGAGCAACATAGGAAGCATGATAAAACATCTACAGTAACATGGCTAGCTATTTTTTGTCGCCTACAATTCTCATGATAAAAAAAAAACCCAAACAAAAACATAACCCTAAACAGCTGAAGTGAGACCATTTAGCTTTACTGTGTTTACTTTACTAAATTTCAAAAAATACACACCCAGTTGTCACTAACACTGTCTCACTTCTCCCTTTAAGTACCTTTTTTCCCATATTGGCATACAGCTATAGGCAGTCGGTTATGCATGACGATTTATAGCTTTTGTGGCAGATTTCCTGTGCTTATTTGACGTAGTATTTAGGCAGTCCATGAGTTTCAGTAAACATTAAGCTTCATTAACTTTAGTTACGGGCTGGCTGATGACACGCCGATGTGGTTAATCTCCATATGTGTAGCTTTTGAAAGCGAAACGCTGCACATACAGACTCCAGGCGCCACAACCAATCACTATAGTGGTCATGGTGATTGGAGTAACACTTTAACTGTCTAAAAAAGACTAATTGTTTATTAATATATAAAAAATGTTGGTTTAATAGAAGCAATGTGTAGCAAGTACCAAACGATGTACATATTGTTACCGTATTTACTGGAAATGAAGGACTAGTTTTAAAGGACCACTCTAGGCACCCAGACCACTTCAGCTTAATGAAGTGGTCTGGGTGCCAGGTCCTTCTAGGGTTAACCCATTTTTTAATAAACATAGCAGTTTCAGAGAAACTGCTATGTTTATTAATGGGTTAAACCTTCCCCCAAAGCCTCTAGTGGCTGTCTCATTGACAGCCACTAGAGGCGCTTGCGTGCTTCTCACTGTGATTTGTAAATGCTTTCCTATGCGACTGGCTGAATGCGCGCACAGCTCTTGCCGCGCGTGCGCATTCAGCCGACGGGGCGGAACTGAGGAGGAGAGAAGGAGGAGAGCTCTCCGCCCAGCGCTGGAAAAAGGTAAGTTTAAACCCCTTTCCAGAGCCGGGCAGGAGGGGGTCCATGAGGGTGGGGGGAACCCTCAGGGCACTATAGTGCCAGGAAAACGAGTATGTTTTCCTGGCACTATAGTGGTCCTTTAATAAAGGGCAGGTGTTAACAGAAAACTGAATTCTGATGAGCTTACAAATGAGTTTTAAAATTTTAACAAAATTTGACAGGTTAGAAGATTCAAAACAATTGTTTTTCACACTTTTTGCAATTTGGCAGAAAATGCCCCACAGCTGGTACTAACAACTCTCTTTACCCTCTCTCCAATATAAGATGTTACAGCTTTTACTGGAGATAATGCGTTAGAAATAAAGTATGATGTCTCATCAAGAGCGGGCACTCAACAAAAGAGGAGCACTGCTTTCAATGGGACAGTGCCAGTGTGGGTAGCTCCAGTCTACCCAGAGCATGAACCCAAATATAGAATTGAAAAAAATATACTAGAAAAAGCTCTATCCAAAGACAGAGCCCCCTGTGTCCTGATGAAGATGCAGCTAGGCACTGAAACGCGCATCAGAAATTTTGTTTTATTGACTGTTTATTTTTCACTGAGCACTTTTTTTTACACACTCCAGTTATTTAGTCCTCTACTTTAGTGGTAGTGTGATTCTCTCAGTTTAGTTAAGCTGTAGATGGTGGTAGGTTGCTGTGACTTAAGCAAGCAAGGTATTCTCTGACCCTTACTTTTTAAATCTATTTTATTGATCTCTCCTCATCCTTTATACCTTTATCTAATCACATTACTTTTAGACACCTTTATTGTCTGTTCTTTCTTACCTACCAGCTAGGGGGCTCTGTCTTTGAATAGAGCTTTTTCCAGTATATTTTTTTTTTCAGATAAGCAGTTAGCGCTAAAGCATATCCAAGCGCTGACATTTGTCCAGGTTCCATTGGCATGCAAAGTGCCATGTAAGCATACATGTACAGGCATTTATTCCTTACTGCAGCTGCGTGGGCATTAGAGTATTTCCATTAAATCCCTTGCTGTGCATTGCCAGCTTAGCAAACACTTAAAAAAAACCTAAAATAAAGGAAAACGAGTACCTATAGTTTAACTAGTCACTGGCTTTGCAGAACCCTGGATGTGACAGTTCCAGTATATAACCGGTCAGTATTGCTTTACCCCTTAAGGACACAACTTCTGGAATAAAAGGGAATCAAGACGGAATATTTCCGTCATGTGTCCTTAAAGGGTTAATTGGCTGTCCTGACATTTAGTATGCATAGTTTTCTATAGCTTGACATTTAAATATTGCTACATTTTGTTAGAGGTATATTCATTGACATGCAACTTTGCAACCAATATTTTAAGGAAAGTTATTTGAAGAAAATCTCTTTAAGCCATTTGAAACAAGCTGCTTCAAACGATATACACACTATTCACTAATACATGAGATTGGAAAAAAAATATACATAAGCTCTAAATGACAAGCTTGAAAATATAACTGGTATAAGCCAACTTCAAAAGCCCCAGAAAGACAAGTTGTAAGCTTATCAACTGCTAAGAAAAAGATTTAAGGGACATCCATTCAGCACTGAAGAAAACATAGTTGGTTCAATAAAAAGTACAAGCCGCCGTTCAGATAACTTCCCATTCCCAATCCAATGGGATCCATGGTTAAGATCATAAGAACAAAATACATAACATTATAACTACATTTTTTTTATCTGCAATTGCTGCTTGACCAGCACAGAATACATTTAATTTTTTTTCCTATCTACTAGTGAGTGTATTTATTGATATCGTTTTCTAAGTGATGGGGTATATTCTGTTTTGTATTTGTCCTGCTATTGGTATATTGGAGAAATGTTAAAATACCATTTTATATACATTTACACTGCATTAAACATCTGGTGCACTTTCACATAGCCACTTCATTTTACATTGAGAGTTTCCATTTACAATGTGGAACCAAAAATATATTTCCCTACATTATATCAGGCATTTTAAACACTGTCTCTCCCAGATTATGCTGAACTGCAACTCACACAAATTGCTGACTATCTATAGCATTCATTGACTTCTGGGAGTTGTAGGTCATAAACATCTGACAGGGGCACAGTTTGAGATCATTGGCTTACATTAGCCAAAGGACCTAAGACTCCTATTTCTCCCATTCCCACATCCAATTTGTAAGTTCTTCCCTCCCACTCATTCCTCTATTTCCTATGTTGTGGAATGACAAGGCTGGAATCTTCCAGGAGTGTTTACAGTCCCTCAGCCCAAATAAAAACCATAACATCAGGAGACCAAGGACCACGGCAGGGGTCATCAGTATGCTTCATGTTATGTGGTGGTATCTAAAACTCATGCCACTAATTGTTCTCATTTCAATAATTATATGTCCTCCCTTGTTTTCATGCTGTAAACATGGGAAAATCACGACTGAATTGGGTTTTACTTATACAAACTAACAATTATCTAAAATCCTATAGATTGTTCTATGAATGACATCTTTACATCAAGCCTTGCTGTAGTACATTTTTGTTATTTCCCTTTTATTGGAACATTTTGTATATTCACCTAATAAATAGAGATATAGAGAAAATTAAGTCATAATATTTTACAAAGATACTTATTGGTCTTAACCATAATGTGTTTTAAAGAAAATTAATAATTTAAACAAGCTTTCATTTCATAAAAAAAGTACTTTTTATATATCCTTATAATATGGTACCAAGAGAGAGAATTTCCAGAACGTCCAGCGGTCTGACATGCTGAGATAGGATAGCCATTGTGTGCCGTGATTCAGTAGAATCAATGCCATTAAAATGAACTTGCTCTCTGACTGCTGTACCTGTTTCAGACCATTCTAATCACAATACTACAAGCTTTCTTCCAGTTGCTAGGGTCCACAATATTGTGATTTGTCTTGAAAATGGGTCCACCCAGCATTAGGCAGTCTCAGCTATCCCTCCTGAAGTAATTGGGCAGAGTCAGGCTACTGTCCGTTCATCTGAACACTCTGCATTATTTGATGTGTTATAGAGCCACCCATTTATTCAGACTGATCAATTGGCATGTACGAGACAAGCAGAAACTGTGGATAAATTTAGAGCAAGCACAAACGAAGGGACGTCTCTCTAGCTATGTTATTTCTGGCAGAACCCCCGCAGGTTCGAGAACATCCGTTTATCAGTGCTACCTTAAAAGTATGGTGCTCGGTCTGGATAAAGCAGTAGCTCACATCTATCCCATCACCTCTGACTCCTATAATCCACAACCCTAATCTAGCAGGTGGACTCACACGTAAAGATATTGGTGGATTTGGAAACTCAGATTGGGTCTATCTTCGGCAATGGTGTTCCCGTGGAGAACTGAAACCTATGATTATATGTCATGACAGGCCTCAGGAACAGGAGGATAGGAGATGTGTTTCCCCTCTCCCATTTTTTATTTTTTTCTTCCAGGTGGCCATGCTTGGGTCAATCTAGTAGTTGAAGTTCATGATTGATCTTGTACCCCAACATACCCTGGTTCGAGAACAGGGGCTACATGGTGCGCTCTGTGAGGACACCGTCAATGGGTGTAGTGAAGTGAACCAGGATGGGCCCCTGCACGGGGGTCAGTGGTGCAGCAACAATGGGGGAGAAAAATAGAGAGAAAAGAGGCACTGCAATGTTACTTCTCCTCTGCCCCCCCTTTCTAACGTCCCCTCCTCCCCCTACCTTACCTTCCTTCCCTCTCCCTCCTTCCAGCACCCTCCTCCTTCATTCCCACTCTCTACCCCCTCATTGTAGGTGTTTGTTTCTGCTATCCACCTTCTCTCTCCTTCCTCTTTTCCTTATTAGAATAATATTAGAATTTGATAACTGTTAGAATATTAACTTGTAATCTGCATATGTTCCTAAGGAGTCAGATCTTTGACTTTATGATTTATCTCTTCCACTTGAATAATAATTTAAGGATGACGTATGTTCAGAGGATTTAGAGATAACAGATCACGTGTATTGTGCTCAATACTTTTTCTTATAACAGTTAACCTTGCTACATGTATGATTTTTCTAATCTGTATTATTTGTACCGATAGTACACAATATGCTTTTTATGTTGTATGGGCAGTATGTACCTTGTTTCTTCACAAATACCTATAAATAAAGATTTATAAAAAAAAAAAATCTTTACAATATGAAGGAGGATTGAGTTTACAGTCTTTAAATTATGGAGGTTTATGAAATTCGTTAACGGATTATATGACTCACTTTTCTCTTATGATTGATTTTTCAACACTTAAGGGATTATTTTAAAAGCTTTTATTTGTTGTAAAAATGTTATGCTTCCTGCGTATTTACTGTGTTAAAGCACATGGCTGCTATCATATGAGGTTGCATCACCTGACTGCCTCTAACCCTGGGCATACTTCAACAGTAAAGCTCTTTTCTCTTAAAGGGAAATTATACCACAAAATCTAACACTTATAACCAGAAAAAATAATAATAATAATAAATGAACAGTCATTATTATATATTGTGAAATGTTAATGAGCTATTTGTGTGTTATTCAGATGAATAACCTGATGGGCCAGAGTAATAACAACGGATGTTTGTCAACTATATTTCTAATAATGCTTAGCTACCCTGTATTGCAGATTGTCAAAGCAACATTGCTCAATGATATTCAAGATTAATAGACTGATTATAATTTATTTTATTTTTTTTAAATAATTTTCAGCAAATCTACTTTCATACCCACAGGGCAATTCACTTCAGTGAGAATTCCAAAGGAACACTATAGTGTCAGGAATACAAACATGTATGCCTGATGCTATAGCGCTTGAATACATGTTTAGCTCACCGGCCCCCGTCTATGTGAAGATAATAGGCTTTAAACGTACTGTTTCTCCACCACTCTGGTCTTGACACACCATTTCCTGCCTCCATGACTGAGATCATCAATCAATAGGAAAGCACTGTGAGGCTATAGCGCATATGCATTAAACTTCCGCACTGTGCCAATCAGCATCTCAATGCATCTCTATGAGAAACATTCAGCCCCTCCATGTAGAATATGGAGATGCTGAACTCCAGTTCTGGACACTGTGCGGCATTGGACTCGAAAGCACCTCTAGTGGCAGTCTGAGTGACAGTCACTAGAAGTGTTACTAGACAGCAATGAAAACCCTACCTTTCTTTGATGGTAAGCATATATTTTTTTAAACAGATTTTAGATTTACTTACTATTATTGTGTGAAGGAAAGATGACTTTGAATTATTTTAAGGGGATGGCTGTTGGGTAGGGGACCACTAGCCAACCAAGGGCAGGGACATGCTATTTTTGGTGGGTGTACAATAGCATATCCATCCCCCTATTTTATAATTAATTAGGACCACTTCCTCCCGACTACAGGTGGGGATTGGGGGGACATAATCGGTCGATCTGATCTAATCATCTCATCTAATCATGACTGCATTTGGTTTTAGTTTATCTGCAAAATGACTGGATGAAATTCAGCCATTTTAACCCGAAATTGGTCATTCGGACAAAATCAGCTGTTTAGTGAATGACCCTACTTGAATTCACTTGGAATTCACACAAAATTTAATGCCAAAATAGCCAAACTGGAAAAATATGCTATGCAATTTGAATTTCCAACAATTCTCGATTTAGTGAATAACCCTACCATAGACTTTGATTTAATAAGCACTCCAAATGATTCAATACTACCAAATGATTTATCTACAAAAATTCCCATAGCCTTTAACTGATGGCTTCTCTAGATGAATCATTTTAATAGTTTTCCTAACATTACTGAATCATTAGAAAAGATTATCCAATAATAAAAATAAATTGGGACTTTAAGTCTTATAGCAGACATTTTGGCCTTTTCTTTAGTAGATGTATACGATTATATATCTTTGTAACAGGGCAAAATAAAATAAGCATTTTCCTGGGCAACAGTTAACAAAAGTCCTCATCTGCATCATAGGATACTATGTAAATATCCATGAAACAGACTATAAAAGTATTCTTAGACAAGCCAGTAATAGTTGGCATTAAGCATTGACCTTTTAATAATATCCTTGATATGTGGGATTTCAGTTCTCATTCGGTAATCAGTGGTTTTCTTAAGCCAAAACCCATTTTTTTACAGTCAGATGTTAAGCTGCTCATTTGAAGCTTTGGAGATTTGTATGTAAATGATAGCTTCACATTTCATGTAGTTAAGGGATTTTCTGGGTCCTAGTATTTTTCTTTTGTAGTGCGTATCTAAGGGATTCTTTACATACTAGCAGGGCCGGATTAACATAGGGGCTGATGGAGCTGCAGCTCCCGGCCCAGGCCCAGGCCCAGGCCCAGGCCCATGGAATAGGCCAATTGATTTTAAAAATATTTATATAAATAATTTTTTTTTTTACACACTACTCTTATGGTTGCCAGGTATTTATCATGTATTTCTTATGGTTGCCAGGTATATCTCAGAAGTATTTGAGGCTGGCTAGCCGGTGCCGGTATTGCAGTAATACCGGCAATACAAATGTCTGTCTAGGTATAAACAGAGATTATTCTGCAATACCAGTGCTGGCCAGTAGGGGTCGCTGTTTGTGTGGAGAGAGGCAGGGATAAGAAGTTACAGCATCTCCCTCCCCGCCTCTCTCTACTCACTGATCTGCGAGGGAGCAGCTCTGCACAGAGAGTCCAGACAGCAGTTTCGAGCCTGCGAGACATGGGGACGGTGAGAGACTTGAGGATGCTGAGACATTGGGACACTGGGAGACATAAGGACACTGGGGAACATGGGGACACTGAGACACTAGGGACACAGTGGCCCCATGCAGGGCCGGTGCTACCTGTAAGGCGGACTAGGCAGCCGCCTAGGGCGCCCCTTGGGAAGGGGCGCCGCCAGGAGCGCCGGCCCCCCCATGCTGCAGCCGCCCGAGCGCTCTGTAGAGCGCCTCAGGCGGCTGCAGCTTTGCCCGGGCGGTGCGTCCATGAGGGCGGACCGCACTGCCCGGGCGCAGCCTGAGGAGAGGCTGACAGGAGGGAAGCGCTCAGCGCTCCCTCCTGTCAGCTCCCTCACTATAGCGTGGCCGAGCCCAGTATGGCATGGTCCGACCGGTACAGAGAGCAGCTGTCTCCTGTACCCGGCCGGACTAACAGGAAGCGAACACTGAGTGTTCACTTCCTGTTAGTCCGGCCGGGTACAGGAAACAACAGCTCCCTGTACCCGCGGACTAGACTAGGCTCGGCCACGCTACTACACAGGTAGGGGGGAGGGGAGAAGAAAGAGGGAGGGAGGGGGGAGAAGGAAACAGGGAGAGAGGGAGGGAGGGGAAAGAAACAGGGAGGGAGGTGGGGGAGAAGGAAACAGGGAGGGAGGGAGGGAGGGGGGAGAAGAAAGAAACAGAGAGGAGGGGGAGAAGGAAACAGGGAGGGAGGGAGGGGGGAGAAGAAACAGGGAGGGAGGGAGGGAGAAACAGGGAGGAGGGAGGGGAGAGAAACAAGGAGGGCTGGAGGGAGAGAAACAGGGAGGGAGGGGGAGAAGAAAGAAACAGAGAGGGAGGAGGGGGAGAAGGAAACAGGGAGGGAGGGAGGGAGGGAAAGAAACAGGAGGGAGGGGGGAAGAAGGAACAGGAGGGAGGGGGAGAAGAAAGAAACAGAGAGGGAGGGAGGGGGGAGAAGAAACAGGAGGGAGGGAGGGAGGAGGGAAAGAAACAGGAGGGAGGGGGAGAAGGAAATGAGGGGGAGGGGGAGAAGAAAGAAACAGAGAGGAGGGAGGGGGAGAAGAAAGAAACAGAGAGGAGGGGGGAGAAGGAACAGGAGGAGGGAGGGAGGGGGAGAAGAAAGAAACAGAGAGGGAGGGAGGGGGGGAGGAGGAACAGGAGGGAGGGTGGAGAAGAAAGAAACAGAGAGGGAGGGAGGGGGCGGGAAAGAAACAGGGAGGGAGGGGGGGAGAAGGAAACAGGAGGGAGGGGGGAGAAGAAAGAAACAGAGAGGAGGGAGGGGGGAGAAGGAAACAGGGAGGGAGGGAGGGAAAGAAACAGGGAGGGAGGGGGGGGAGAAGGAAACAGGAGGGAGGAGGAGGGGGGGAGAAGAAAGAAACAGAGAGGGAGGGAGGGGGGGAAGGAAACAGGGAGGGAGGGGAGAAGGAAACAGGGAGGGGAAGAAAGAAACAGGAGGAGGGGGAAGAAAGAAACTGATCGGGAGGTGGGGGGAAAGAAACCAACAGGGAGGTGGGGGAAAGAAACCAACAGGGAGGTGGGGGAAGAAACTAATCTGGGAACCAATGAGACATTGACAGGAGGGGAATTGACGGGAGAGAAATTGACAGGAGGGGGGAGGACAGGAGGGAGGGGGAATGAGAGTAACAAGGGAGGGGGGGAGAAGAGAGTGACAAGGGAGGGGGTAGAGATTGACATCCATCACACACACACACACACACAATCACACACAATGCACCCCTTACACACAAAGACAATGAACCCCTTGCACACAGAAAAACACACAATGCATTACACACACAA